ATGTATATATGGGTGTGCTTTATGTTTAAATTTTTGTTTTAGCAGGAAAAGAGATGAAAAGCAGAAAAGATCTAGATTGAAGGGACATGGTAAGATGTGGACAAGTAAAGCAGAAGGTATTTGGTGTGTTGTTCAAGAGACTTATCCGTGTTTTAAAGTGACCCTCGTCACATTTTGGAAGCTCAGCAGTGAAACTTCTGTTCTGTTACACGTCAGTGTTTGAAGATGATGGTAACGCTCTGAGCTTTCAGTTGATGCAGATGTCTGCATACCAGATGTAAGATAAAAAAAGGCCAAAATAGAAGTAGGAAGGATGCAGTGCCACATGACACTTCCTGACACACACACACACACACACACACACACACACACACACACACACACAGACCCTCTGTTCTCATACTGGACTGAATCCTGGTTCTTGTGGAGAAGCATCAGTTTCACTCTCCTTTCTGTCCTGATGTACAGTTTTACCATTACATTCTGTATCAGACAGGTAAACATGTAACAGGTAAACATAAACAGCGGGTGGAGCCTCACCGGATGCATGCCCTCTGCCATCTCTCCAGAACCGATGTGTGTGAGGTGGATGAAGTTCGTCGGCTCTCCGATCATACTGCGGTCGATCTTCCTCCTCCTCTTCTTCTGCACATAAACCGAGATGCACATTATTTAATTTCATAACTTTTTGTACATGGAGTTTTTAGTTCTTTGTCTGCACAGACATATTTGTTCTGATTGTTTGTATGTGATTATAACACTTAATAGAAACTTGAATGAAAAAAGGTTAATTTTATTTACGCTGCACATTTAAAATGACTGAGGCTGACCACAGTGCTTGACAGACAAACTGGATATCAATACAGCAAAATAAAAAACAAAAGCAAATAAAAACAACAATAACATGTACCGTATTTTTTGTCATATAAGTCGCACCTGTTTGCATAAATTTTCAAGTCCTGCAACTTATACACCGAAGCGACTAATATACATTTTTTTTTCCCACATTTATAACTCAATTTTTGGCTGATATCTGACGATTTCTTTCATTTTGACATGGAAAATATTGAACACTATCATTTTCAGCCACTAGAGGGCTTTCGAGCAATATGGCAAGCCAAGTGTTTCATTAACACCATATGTTTTTTTCTGTATAAGTCGCGGTTTTTTGCATAATTTGCATGCCCTGCGACTTATAGGCCGAACCGACGTATTTATGAATTTTTTCCCATATTTATAAACCAATTTTTGGCTGAGATATGACTGTTTTCATTCATTCTGACTGAAAAAATTGAACACTACCATTTTCAGTCTCTAGATGGCACTCGAGTATTATGGCATGCTGTTGTATCATGTAATAGGTAAAAGTGGCTATTAATGACACAATCGGCTTGCCATAGTCTGCCACTTTCGTCTGCCTGGAGCAACCAAATCAGCTGCATTTCGCTGCGCCGCACCAGCGAAATACAGCTGATTTGACTGTAAAAGTGCATTTATTAATTAAAAGTTCAACAGAGACACACCTTTACTATAAAGTCGAGCTAACAAATGATTGTTTTTAGGTGGTTATCTTGTTAAATTTCGAAGAAATGGACCGAATCGCCTCTGCGCATTCATGTTTCCGCATATCGGTTTTTGAAAATGCAGCTGATTTGACTGTCAAAGTGCATTTATTAAGGAAAAGTTAAACTGAGACACAACCTTGATATAATTTTGAGCAAACAAATAATTGTTTATAAGTGTCAATCTTATTAAATTCTTGCTAAAGTCCTCCTGTGCACACTATGGCAGCCGCCATTTGGCAGCCAATTGATTTTTGGCACAACACCTGCCCACGTTTCCGGGTGGTCAGCGGTGATGCATAATAGTTGCGACTTATACGGCAAAGTGACTTATTTATGGGTTTTTTTTTCCCACTTTATTAGACATTTTTGGACTGATGCAACGTATAGGGCAGCAAGTACGGTAGATATAAAATCATGGTAAAAATAGGTGAGATCTGTTCAAATCTTGTGCTCCATTTAAACCAAAAAAATTTATTTCGGAATTGAAAATATTTGCATTTTCAAAGAAATACCTAAATTTAACATAATCTATTATGATGGACTCAAGTTTTTGTTACCGTTGATACTCGGTTGGTTTCGTTAAAATATTACAAATCTCCAACGTAATGAATCAAAACTTTTTGTCAGTTTTAATAATATCTTGTTCTCAGATTATGTTTTTATTTATTGAACAAGTCTGACCGAGTTAGATAAAAAAGCAAAAAGGTTCCCTTTTGTTTCACTGAAGGAGACTCAGTGTGTGTCTAAGGAAATATGACCAGTTAAAAGAAAAATAATTACTAAGGAGAAATAATTAGATCCAAAAAGTATATATTTTTTTAATCTACTTCAATATAAAAAAAGATTCACACCTAAAAGATAATGTTTACCAACCGCAGATAAATATTTACTGATATAAATTTTCCATTTTGAAAGAAACGCATGAAATTTTCTAATTTTTTTCTCTACACTTGATTAATTCAACTTATTGCATGTTCAACTCTTTGCCTTGAAGACCAATATTAATCTCCACGAGGTCTACGGAGACTTTGTTCAGTTTAAAATTAATCAGACAGAAAAATTGGATTCTGGTCCAAAGAGCTTTTGGCAAGAATGTGTATTCTTCGTGAGGGAAAATGTGTCACAGGTCATTTTCAATTTATGTCAGTTTTAAACATGGCAGCTCCAAAGTGTCAATGTTTTGTTTCAATAAAGATCTTTACTTTCTCCACTTGTATCCCAGTGGAGATGTAAAACAGGAGTAAAGATATGGAATGACACATCAATAATTAGATTTTTTTAATCCATCGGGTGTCTTTAATGTTTCTTTCTCTGATGTGTCTCCGCACGTCCACATACTCTCAGACTCAACTCATCCTTGATCGTGCAAGAACAAAAAAAAGTGACGCAACCAAAAGAGAGAAGGAACACAGCAGAAATCGAAAGCCTGGACTTTGTAATCATCTGCACACGTTTTAGAGTCGGACACAACGAGGTTATTCTCAGAAAACACATCTGGCACCTGAAATTAGGCTTTCATTTACGGGTCTTCAGAGAGCAGCTCTCTGTGCTGTGTTCAGGGTCACTCAGGACTCTGGCAAACAGCCACTGAATGTCTCATTAAACTCTCATTCTGGTCCCAAAGTCCAGTAAATCCCACGCTGTGGAAACACATCTCAACCACAGTTATGACCATTTAGATGTGATTTAAGAGGCTTATGCTTGTCAGGATTATTCAGAGCTCTTTATGTAACACAGCAGAACCAAAGCCATGAACAAGTCTGGTGTTCAAGATCACAAGAAGTCTTGGATTTCTTAAAAATCGTTGCTCTTTTCTTAATCATACTCAACAGAAGTTTAATGATCAACATATTGTATTAAGATGGAAGTACAAAGTATAAACACTATCAGTTTAATTAGGATTAGCATGCTATGACTTTTGATTTTTGTAACTTTTATCCTTTTCTGAATATTTCACTTCATGTAAAATAAACTTTTCCCCATTAGCTACTGCTTAACATCTTTTAGCTACTGCTTTGCTTCTTTTGGCTCTCATTTTGCTTCTTT